CATCCAAACTTTAACTGTGTCTCAGAATCTTTTGAGCTGCCACCAGTTGCATACCCCAACTCTCCAACACACTTAGCTCTGTTAGGGAGACTCCTAGATGAGAGCTTCCTTTTCTTTACATGACTACTCTACTTGCATTTTGACATCTACTGTGGCATTCCGCTCCCTCTGTATTAGGCTCCAGGTTGCCTACGCTGTGTTAATTATAACAAGCTCTGGAGGCTGATGTGCCTCAGACTGAGCTGTGAGCCCAAGCCCATTAAATGCAAAATTGAATCATCTGGGGCCCAGCTGAGAGACAAAGAGACTCTATGAGAGATGTATAAAAGTGTAAGGGAAACCAGTAGAGGAAATGACAGCAGTGTAGAGTGGATTTCTGTATGTGAAGGTTTAAGGAAGGCACTAGAGGTCCACGAGGAAGGAGCCAGGAACACATTTGGTGTCAGCTTAGTAAAGAGAAGCAGAGCCTGATTAGGTAGATTCTTTTAAAGCAAACTTTCCTGAACCTTCTTGTGTATGTACCTCTTATTGACCTTGTGTATATACCTTTTTGGAGTATAAGCATGCAACCCTTAGTTGAAATGTGCTCTGAGAGATTTAAACTATTGATGGGCAATCTTGCTTGTACAAAGTGCATTTTCATTTATGTGGAGGTGCTGTGCATAATCAGATTTATTTTATGTATTCCTGTGATCATGCAGAAACAGATGTTGAGGAGTGCAGAATTAATGTATGGTCCAGAACCTTACCCCTCGTTTGGGGGGTGTGGTGTATCTGGCGCAGGGCCAAGCTTCAAGCAAACTGCCTGAAGGGGGCAGCTAGGGATTTCCCGGCCCAGTAACACCTGGCTAGCACAAAACCACCATAACGCTCTACTCCACTCACTCCTGGCTCTGGTGTAGAGGGTGTGATGGGATAGGCTAGAAGAGGCAAGGCCAGAGTACACTGTGCTCTGGTGATCCTCACCCACATAATGGCTCCTAGGGGTCATTACAAGCTGGTGGAAGTTTAAGCGGCCCTTAGGCTTCTGCAACTTGTGCCAAGGCATGTATGGCCACCTCTTTCTTTTTCCCCAGCAGCTGTATTGAGGCCTCTTATGAATAAACAGATTAAATATCTTCACCGGAAATAAAACCAAAAGGAATTCTAAAATATACTGGTTTTTGTTCCTCTTAGCAATAAATGGCTCGTGTGGTGGCTACCTTTCCACAGCTTCTGGATCATTCTCTAGTCCATTCTTTCCTGGAAACTATCCAATGAATGTAAAATGCATCTGGAGAATAGAAGTCAAGAACAATTATTATATCAGACTCATCTTTAAGCATCTTGAGTAAGTAAAATATTAGGTACTGAACTGCAGTTTAGCCTTCAGAGAACTTGATATAAAGTGATGACTTCCACTTTCCATATTTGTTTGGCTTTTTTTTTTTTTTTGTAAGATTTTGATCTTGCATAGAAGAGCCTTATAATCTTACTGACCTCTTTACACTATTTGATTTTGAGTTTTGAAAGGTGTTCCATTGCTTATGTTTCTTATGAATTTTATTTTATTTCATTATTAAAGTCTCCGATCAACCAAATACAGTAGAAGGTCTGATCTGGCAATCTAGTAGCTGACCAACTTACTACCATGCAAGAGTCTCGTTTGGTCCTTTTTCTCCTTCGATAGCTGGCACTGGAAATGCTGCAGAGGCAGCCTACCTCTCTCTGGATCCTATCAAGCAAAGCATTTAAGCACATAGTAGTCTATGGGACTACTCTGGTGCTTAAAATTAAACACATGCTTAAGTACCTTGACAGTTCTGGGCCTCTGTGGTCAAGCCATATGTCTCATTTGCGGAGCAGCACTGAATGGGAAATGTTAGCCAACTTTCCTGGTCTGGAAGAACCTTTTTTTTGGCATGACCGCTTGATGGTGAAGGAAGTCAGGCTAAAGCAAGTGGGGAGATTTTTGGAGTCATCGAACGGTTTGAATAGCTCACAGGGCAGGGGGAAGCATAGTTTTGTTTTTCTTTAAAAACAGAACTAGAAAAATCTTTTTTAATGTTAGCCAAGCACAGATTCAATGTTTTTACTATCTTTAACTCGGCTAATATGCTATGAGCATTGTATAGTCCTACAAGTTGTATGGGTATTTTTGGAAGAATAAATAAATGTTAGCTACTGTAGCATCGAGGTGACATGGTTTTGTGGTTGAATCCAAACTTGATATATGTGAGAGAAAGCGTTTTCATTCAGAAAATGCCAGCCCTATATAACAAAGCAATAGTTTGTGAATAAGCTTGATTGTCTACTGCTTGATCTTTATAGTCCCTGTTCTGTAAGTAAGTCTTCAGACTCTGTGGCTGTCAGTCCAACACCTTCCACAAACAATGCAATCACATTTAAAAACACATTTTTAAAAGAAAAAAGAATATATACACACCCCTTTGACTTATGTCAAACGTTCCTCTCCAGATCTCACTGTTTGTCTCCATTGCATATCATTCTGTGCAGAAACTGTGCAGAATATGTAACAGCTCTAACTGGCAGATCTGGGAGGAGAATTTTGCCATAGATTTGCATTAGTTCACCAAATCATTTTCTAGCCCAAATATTGCTGTTAGCTTATCTTATCAACAAAGGCGTAAGTGTTCATGCTATTATATATTCGTTTAGTACTAGGTTCCTCTGAAGTCAACAGGAATCAGTTCGTTCCAACCTCATTTCACTCATTTTGAAAACTATTTTCTAACTCTGATATTGCTTTAGAGTAACACAAAATAACTTTATCTCCACAGGCTAGAATTTTCATATAATTGTGCTTATGACTTTGTTGAAGTCTATGATGGTCCTCTGAATACATCTCCTCTACTTGGGAGGATTTGTGATGGTTCAAATTACACATTTACATCATCTTCAAATACAATGACTGTTCTGTTTTCAAGTGACTTTAGTTATACAAGAAGTGGATTCAGTGCTTACTATGATTCGTTTCCAGAAAAGAACAATGATACAGGTAAGCTTGCCTTAAATATAGCAATGTTCCTATTAGTAAGGTAACAATAAGGACCTGATCAAACCAGTGAAGTCAATGGAAAGACTCCCATTCATTTAGATCAGCCTGACATTAGATCAGGCTAAATTTAATATCTGGCAGTGTTGTAGCTAAGTTGGTTCCAGGATATTAGAGAGACAAGGTGGGTAAGGTAATATCTTTTATTGGATCAATTTCTGCTGGTGAAAGACAAGCTTTTGAGCTTGCCCAGGGGTTTTAAGTCAGGAACCAGTTGATTTTTAATTATAGTAATGTTTGGATACATATCTAAAATTAGTATGAAACTTTCCTTCCGTCTCATCATTTAGCACTGTCATGTTCTGGACAATATATGCGTGCAGTCATTAACAGAACCTATCTGCAGTCATTGGGCTACAATGCTTGGGATGTTTATCTGAATGACTCATCCTGTGGGCCACAACAGATCACGGAAACCTATGTTATATTCAACATACCTTTTAATGGATGTGGTACAATAAGACAGGTGAGAAATGTACTTTTTATTCATATGTCACTTTTGCATGTGAACACACCTTTAGTTGAACAAAGCAATTTAAATTAGTTTTGAACAAAAATGATCAGTCAAACCATTCACTTTAAAAGGCCATAATTTAGATACAGAAATATTTGTTTAAAAATGCTCATCCTAAGTTTGAGGTGATTAGTATATTTGTTGTGCATGAGTTTGTCTAACCACCTTACTGACAATTAGGAGCCCTGACTTTAAAAAAGAAGATCCTGAGGGGAAATTACAATAAACACAGAACCCGGTCACTTCATATTTGTCAGGATGACTCAAGGTGTTGGTAGCATGGATGGCTGAAGAGCCTTTGACCTCTTGGACACATTTGTGAATGTTGCCCAGGTCAGTGGTGTCTGGAAAAACTCCATCTGGTAGTGTCATAGGGTGTGCCTTCAGCTACCTTGCATTGCCCGGCCTATTTGCATGGTCTCTTATTCATGCTATACATACAATGTGTATCTTTAGATTCACAGCACTGCAGAACATAGTATAAGCATGTGTCAGGAAGAGTCTTCCATCCAGCTTTCTCTACCTCATCCAACTCACTCTCTGAGCTCCCCACTTCCTGTTCCTGCCAATTATGTATCATCCCTTACTGAGCTAATTACCCAGATAGCCCAATCATTGCCCCCAAGTGTCAATTTCCACCATAATAGGTAAATTGCCTCCAATTTAGCCCATAATCTTCTTTGTTAGGCAATTACCTACAAGACCATGGTGCTACAGCTAGGGCTATGTCTATACTACGCACCTTTTAGTGACACAGCTGTGCCGCTACAGCCATGCCACTAAAAGGTGCACAGTGTAGCCGCCCTTTATCGGCAGGAGAGAACTCTCCCGCCGACAAAATATATCCACCTCCAACAAGAGACAGTAGCTTTGTTGGCAGGAGAGCTCTCCCGCTGACAAAGCACTGTCCACACTGGCGCTTCTCGTCAGTAAAACTTTTGTCATTCGGGGGCGGGGGGATTCACATGCCTGAATGACAAAAGTTTTATCAATGAAAGTGCAGTGTAGACAAAGCCTAGCACTCTGTCACAGGTAGACAGTGGACAAAATCCCCTTGAATTTTAGGGGAGAGGGTAATATTTGAATCCCTAAACCCTAACTCTTTCTTTTACAAGTCCTAGGAAGATGTACAACCAGAAGGGACTGATTCTTTGGTTCTGTTTCAGATGTGGCCAAAATCTGTCAAGAGTAGACGAAGGGGGAGAAATCTACCTCATCCCTAAAAGTGGCCCTTCTGTGTCAGGGTTGAGACCTCACTGTAGAGGATTGGGGGAAATCAGCTATCATTCTGTGGATAAACAGAGTAGCTTAGACTCCAGGACTGTCAGTTGGCACCTTTCACAAGCAACAAATTCATTCTAAAATCAAAACATGTAAAGAACACTTTGATTAAATATGTACATCCTGGCCATGGACCACTAAGGTGTGCAAATGTAATTCATCATGTACGTAGTTTACAAACTATTGTAGAAGGGGCATTAATTGAGCAGCAGGTGCTAATACAGAAGTTGAGCAAAACTAATAGTACAATGTTTCTTTTCTTATGTCATTTTGATAAAGCACCTACATGAATTAACCATCAGAAGTGTACACTGAGTAGCTAGAATACTACTATATAAAAACAGATAGTGGCCTGAACAAAAATCCCTGTAATTTGGGTGCTGAAGATAAATCCAAACTTTGTCAATAGGCCCTGTCTTTATAATGGACTGAACAAAACTCCTATATCTGAACTACCATAGACTTTGGGATGTCTGAAATCCAGATCCAGAACTGACTTTCATAGCATGAACTGATCTCTAATAAAATAAATAGATAGAAAAACAAAGTTCAGTGAATTTATAAAAGTGCCTTCAGAGAACAGGTTTTATGCTAGCTCTGGGAGCTCTGCTACACCTTGTCTTAAAAGTGAATTTATGGCTCTTGCTCTTCAGATTAGTGACAAATTTGATGTGTTCCAGAGCACTTGTATCGCCTTGAAAGGTAGTCACTTGTTAGACCCTGCTGGTGAGGGTTAGGGTGATCACCACAAAATACATATTAACCAAAAATGTGCAAACTCCCCATTCTCCTGGAACGTAGGAGGAATTGAGCAAGAGAGAAGCAGTGGTGCTTTGACAAGAGATTCCAATCAGTGGACTAAGGTGTGCATTTTACTAATGACTAAATTTTTCAGTGGGCTGTTTATGTCAGAACCAAATTAAAGGTGCAACATCAATTTGAAAATCCTGTTGGAAAATTGTATACCTAATATGTTACAAGTAAGTGAAACCTGAGATTACGCAAATGCGGTGGGAGAGAATACATCTATTTTTTTCAACTTGTTTGCTTTCTGCATTGGGCAGAATTTGTGTATAATCAATGTTCCATGGCATAGTCGGTCCCTTTCTGAAAAGATCATAAACATCAACAAAGAAGCAGAAAAACTCTTCTAATATTTTTAAGTAATTAGAAGCATAAATAAATAAATAAAATCAGAACATACTATTTAAAGTGTGTTCTTTGGGAAACTAGATTTAAAAAAAAATTAGCTAGTTTTTAAAAATCTCAAGTTGACAGTGTCTTTTTACAAAATCAATTATTTCAACTGCAATATTTTGAAACATTTTATTTTCTCATATTTTCACAGGTGAAAAATAACACTATCACCTATTCCAATGTAATCAGAACATCTCCTTCTGGTTATATTATCACAAGGGAAAACGACTTTCAGTTTCACATTACCTGCAAAATGAACCAGGACACAATGGTAGAAATAATGTACGTTGCCAAAGGTGCTATTGACATACGTGAAACCCAGCATGGCAGATATGACGTGAATATTTCATTTTATGAATCATCAAATTTCTCAAATCCAGTTTACAATTCCCCATACTATGTTGACTTAAACCAGGATTTATTCCTTCAAGCCACTCTCTACAGTTCCGATTCCAACCTGGTGATGTTTGCAGACACGTGCACGGCATCTCCATATTCTGATGACTTCACAAACCTGACTTATGTTTTAATCAGGAATGGGTAAGGACTTTTAGTTATAAAGAAGTTCTACCTAAAGTTATACGTGTATCTTTCTTTCTGCTTTTATTGCTTGCATTGCAGCAGTGAAGCAGACATATTTACTCTGATTCCTCCATGTGTGTTAGTGGAGCAATTCTGATTTATTTTGGTTTTGGTTTTTTGTTACAGATGTGTAAGAGATTCCACCTACAGCTCATACTATTCACCAATGGGATACGTGGTTCGTTTCAAATTCAATGCCTTCAAGTTTCTCAACAGACATGCTGCCATTTACTTGCAGTGCAAGATAGTTGTATGCAGGGCATATGATTATTCTTCTCGATGCTATCAGGGATGTTTAGTGAGGCGCAAGAGGGATACAAGTCCTTACCAGGAAAAAATAGATGTTGTTGTGGGGCCAGTCCAGCGTAAAAAAGAAACCAATGAGGACAGAAAATCTGGTAATTTATTTTTATGGCCTTTTCTCTTGCTGTATCTGTTAAGTATTATTTTACAATATCATTGTGGGGAAAAAGAACTAGGTGGCCTTCTTTATGGCAGCCAAAGTAACACCGAAGGCCCAAGTTCAGGCCCTCTGACAGAAGCTGACTATACAGACGGCCTTTACATAGAACAGTACAGGCCAGGGCCTGAACAAAACTAAGCTGTACAAGCCCCTGCCAAATACGGTCATGGGCTATGACCAGAGGAGGGAGGGGGAGGAAGCAATGCACTAGGCCTTAGCAACAGAATAACTGCTTGTTTATGAAATACATGATAACTGCCTGTCTGTAAGAACATGATAACCGCTTGTTTATAAAACATAATAACCGCCTATATGAAGAAATTGCTTCTAGTAAAGGTCAACTTCCCCTATAGTTCCAGCTATCTGCCAACCAGCTAATCATATATCATCTTTGGGCGTCCCATAATAAACCTCTATGACCCCGGAAAAAAACAATATGTACCCTGACGAGAACAACACTCCAACTGGTGCCAAGTACCACCCATGTCGGAAACCACCAAGAAACCCGCCCCCCCCACCCAATAGGCACCCAATTCTCGTAAATAATGAGGGAGCTACCGGGAAAAAGGGACAGACCCCTACTCTTATTTTCACATAAATGACGTATTATTTGTACCATGCTTGCGGTTTGACGGAATAAAGACAGCCTGCGTGCTGTGCTAGGTGTGGTAGTTTTCGGACTGCCACCCCAACGCGTTGGTATGTTTTGCAATAAACTGGCCTCAGGCTTGTCTCTGTGAACTAAAATCAATACGTGGGTGACTTTTTCCACGACACATTTAAGTATCACATTTCAGTATGTCATATTCTTTGCCTGCTTCCTTATCATGAATTCTAAACAGGAGTGTGCTAAGGGACAAGCCTTTTTCCTTGTGAACACAATTTGATGGGGAAAAGGAGTTAATTATGAAAGTATCCAGAAATTTTTCAAGCATCAGTTATTCCCACAAAAAAATCTCCACCCTACTGTCCGTTTATGTCATAAAATGATTACATGCTGATAATCTGCTTTTCTTTATAATGCCTTCTCTAAACAAATCTGTAATGTGTACTTTTTCCTTTTTCAAATCCCTCTTCAAGACCCACTTCTGCTTTGACAGCTAGAAAAACCCAGTGTTGGCTGGCCTTGCTATTATTTATTGATAAACTTAAATTCAAATTATTCAGAAACATCAGCTTAGCTCACCTCAGTTTAGACACACCTATTTGTATCAGCTAAGCTGATACAAATTTAACTGCAGTTTGTATTGCTTTCACCCTGGTCTCTCACTCTCTCCTTTTCTTCTGTTTGTTACTCACTTGTTACATCTTGTTTCACATTAATTAGCTTTTTGGTTCAGAGGCCTTATCTTCCTAGTGTTTGCATAGTGCATAGCATAATGAGAACCCAGTCCTAAATGGAGCTGTAGGCGTTACAGTAATGCAACTAATAATGGTGGTGATCGTCATTATTATAAATGTGAATGGACTTGTTTACAGACATATTAATGATTACAGAAAATAATGGTGTACTGGTCTTTTACTGTAGGATAAGAGCGAATGCTTGATCAAAATATTGGCTTACAGGGGAAATAAATGTCTCTCAGAATTGGTAATAGGGCATTTGATTTCACTTTCACAGATGCTAGTTCAAATTTAGTCTGAACCTCTAGCCCCTGAAAGTTGTTACCATTTGATTGCTTGTCAACGGGCTATGTAAAATAAATTGGTGGCCTTGGTCTGGGTAATTATATTACAAACACCATCAACAATTGGAACTTTTGTGATAGTCATCAGAGACCTCATGATGCTAATGAGCACAGACTGAGCTATCGTCTTACCCCTAGAACTGGTTGATGGTCTTCCAGGTCGCGGTTGAGACACACTGACAAAGCAATGTGAGATATTGGCATTGCTGTTGTTTTGTGTTGCACCTAAGCATAAGATGTTAAACTCCAGAGTTGTCTATCGGTCATTTTTAACATATGCTGCATTTGCTTGTGCTATTTTACTTTAACAGACATTAAACAATTTGCTCTTGTTTTCAAAACTAAATTTATCAGTATGACACTTTTGGTCAGAGTATTATGATTCTTAATGGCAAAGAATTTTTTACCTTTAAATCTCAACGGTGTCCTTGATGCTCTATCACTCTAGCACCTCCTATGTATTTATGTACTGACAAAAACTATAAGATTAAGTCAGATAAACTCTCTCTCTCATTTACAGATCCACACAAGAGAGAGTTTCTGGAAAAAGACGATGTACACAGCCCATTTGTTCTTGCCACTCTGCTCTTGGCAGGAGTTGTTTTGGTTCTCACTGGGGCCCTTTTGAGAAGTAAACTGAGGAGAAGAACTGAGTGTCAAGTGCTATAAGAGTATCCCAAGGCATCACATGAGGTGGCTCAGCCTCATTCTTTCATGAATGTATTCAATGTCGAACATTTGCACAATGATTTAATAGATAACATAATAAATTAAAAAGGAAAATACTTGGCTTTCAAAGGTCAACAATAAATGTACAGAACATGCTCTAATATGCAGACATGTGTTCCACTAAACCTGATTTGGATGCACTTTAAATGAAAAGTCTCAAATAGGGCTTGAGGAAAATAAATCTTCAATTTTGTGTGTGCAGACAAAAGTGCACATGCACCAATTTTACCTGCAATATCTTGCCTTCGTACACACAAATGGACATGGATATGTTCAAAGTGGGTAACTGTGCAGGCAGTAGATGGGAACACAATTATTTGATTCTTGCAGCATTTGGTGATTTCCTAACATGTTTAGTGCATTTGTATTTTGGTTACAGTGATTAGTCTGACTATGTTTGGGAAGGTTTTGACTAGGTCAGTTGTAGAGAAAGGACAGCTGTGAAACTCCGATCTGGACATTGGGGGTGTTGAGTTCTGTGGATTCAGGTTGGGGCCATCTCTGCATTTAGCTAGCACAAGTAAGTGTATTTCTCTGGAAGTAACATGAAAATTCCTGCCCTTGTTAATTTAGTAAACAGTTGATTATTAAAGTGATACATCTTGAAATCCAACAGTTGTTTAGCATAGGGATGTATATTAAGTTTTTATTATACCTAATTAAACATATAATCAATCAGTATAAATAGTTTAAAATATAATAAATGTATTTAGGATGTAATTACAAATGAAAGTCTGTATGAGTGTATTTTGTTTCTGATTAAGATGCAAAACCGACATCAAATAAAATGCTAAAACTCTGTCAATGAACTGTGTGTTTATTTTTTACCTTAGATAGGGAAAGCATGGCATTAGATAGAATTGCATCTTATTTCTTTTTAGGCTAAATCTGCACTCCACACCTAAGCCATCCACACACAAATAAGTCTGATTCAGGTCAGCAAGCAATCACGACTTGGGTCCTAGGACCCTGCTAGGAGGATGGGAGAGAGCCTGAGTCCCATTTTGACTCTGGTCATTTTGCAGAGTGGTCTCATGTCAAAAGGTCTGCATAGTCCAGCATGGATGCATTGGCACTGAGACCCGAGTCCATCAATTGTGGACCTAGGTTTACAATGCAGTATGGATGCTCAAGCTCTGGCTTAGTGTACAGTGTAGACATGTACATACATTTTATTAATGTGAATTTATAGCTACTTTTCTACCACTAATCCCCATCTAGGTGCAATAATCTAGTATCTAACAAATGTAAAAAAAATAGGTAAAAACATTCACGTTATAGATCTGCTTTGAGTAGAGGAAAACCACTCCCACAAGGGCAGTATTCTCTCTTTCCCCTACATCCAGCTACGGTCTGACGTTTTTGTTGCTCATGGTCTAATTTAGGCCCTGATTTCTATAGGGCTACTCTTTTGTGTGTAAATGTTTTCAGGAGGGGCATAAAATTATAGGCTCCTCTGATCTGGGACCTTGTCTGATTATATGCCTGTAAAGCACAATCCACAAAAACAAATGGCTAATTCCTGCAGCCTTTACTTGAAGGCTCTGAAGACAAGTTTTTCATGCAGAATATGGCCCAACATTTTAAATACAAAGTTCATTGATGCTTATTATGAAAAATCCTACACTTAGATAGTGCAGTGGAAAGTTTTTTAGTGTGCATCATTGTATGTGTTAACAAAAGCACTCGATCAGTGCCCTCCATATGTCAAACTTCAAACAGGCTTTCTTTGTTTCATGAGTGTTTGGTATATTTCTCTAAGAGGTCTGTTGTTATAGGAGACAAGGAAGCTGTTATATGCCAATGCTGCAAAGATCAGTTGAAATGTCACACGAATGGCTTTCCTCTGCGGGAAATCAAAACTTATCTGTTAAACTGAAACTTTCAAATCTTTGAAAACTTTTAGCTTTTTATTATATTAAACTGTAGATAAAAAATTTAGTAGATTTTTGGCAATAAACTAGCTCCTTAAAATATTATCTGCCAGAAAATAAAGATTGATCAATCTTCCCCTAATCTTTTTCCTTTACAATTGATATGGAAAGTATTTGCTCTCCAAGAGCCTGATTGTGTGAAGCCCTGAGTGCCTCCTGCAAGGTGCTGATAGTCCTCAGTTTCCCCCATTGAAATCAGTGGAAATTGAAGATGCTCCAGCAGCTCATCTGGCACTACCCATTGCAGGACCCTAAATGCTACTTCCAGAAATCAGAATAAGAATAATACTGAATAAGAAATATAAAAGGGTGGGTCTTTAACATCATTGTTGGAAACATCTCCTAGAAGACAACACTGGCTGTCCCATAGCAGTTCGACTCAGAGGGCTGGAGTCTTAGCCAGTGTAAACCAGTGTCACTTCATTTAAGTCAGTAGAGTTACATTGACTTACATCAGCTGAGGGTCTGACCAGTGGGGTCATTTCAGAAAAAAATGGAGGCTGAATGGAATGGGTGTTGCTTTCCTAATGACCACAATCAAAGTTGGAGGCAGGGTAGTGGAAAACATAATGGAGCATATAGACCTATGAAAAGTCAGGGAGCGCAAACCAAAGTCAGGGTGTTTTTTGTACCTACCCACAGTGGGACTCTAGATTCTGGCCCATTTCTGCTCTGTAGGAATAGAACTATAGGAAAATGGAAAGGTGGAAAATTTCCCAGCTTTAAAATATCCCTTTTCTCCGTGAGTGCGTGTCTCAAGCTCCCATTGATGTAAGTAGCTGTTATCTGGGAACACTGAGGAGAGGATCTAACTCTGTCTGTGGAAGAAGAAATTATTTTTAAAAAATTAAGATGAACTAAAAACAGTTATTATAAACAAACTTTTGCAAAAAAAATGTTTTAAATGTATCCCATAATGCATTTATTTTGTAAGAATCCATTAAGTTAAAGAACAAAGATCAAATTGCACAGCACACTCCTTCAGATCGACAAGTATATAAATTCTGAAACATGTTTCTTTAGATTCACAGGAAACCCAGTCACTCTTTGATGGTTTAACTCCTTCTTAATGAACTTTTCTCAGCCCACAGAAATGTTGCATTAATTTACTGAAAAACAAAGTGTCAATTACATTCTTTTTTCTTTCCAAGAAATGTCACCGAGACTGACGAATGGAAGGAGCAAATATGAGTGTCGTATTGAAATATATTGTAAAGGAAACTGGGGAACAGTCTGTGATGACTCCTGGGACTTAAATGATGCACAAGAAGTGAGCAGGCCATATCAGCACTAGGAAATGTTTACTTTGGTCAAAGTTCAAGAAATATTCTCCTTGGTGACGTGTAGTGCCAAGAGAATCAATCCTATCTTTGGCAGTGTTTGCACAAAGGCTGGCCCTCATAAAGCTATCTGCATGATGCCAACATCGTTTGTTCTGGTACAGTCTGATTTCACTTATAAGGGAAATAGTCTGGTTTTTTGCAAACTGATTTTAATCTGAATTCCATTTTTGAGTATCATTAGAGGAAGAAATGCTAAATTGCTTGTTCAATTAGTCATTTCATTGAAAATATTCAGGCTTTTAACATTTTAGACTAAATCCTGAGCTCTTTATTCAGGAAAGACTCCTATTGATTACAATGGAGACTTGCCTGGGTAAAGACTTCAGGTTTTGTCCAGAAGCATTTGTGATTTTTCCCTAAATTCCTTATTTTACTGTAGTGAAAGCAGTGTTTGTGTTTCTAGGTTGAATAATAGGCCTCATTCCCCATTCATTGATATTAGTGTATATCAGGAATATCTCCTGTGAAGTCAATGGAGAATCAGGCCCATAGAATTAATGTCTTTTTCAATGGGACTGGGACTGATGACTCTTTAATTAGTTTTTCACTCATTTATGCGCTTTCTACACTGCTAAATTGCTTCTCTTTAAGGGCCTGAATTGGCCTATAATTTTTTTAAATCGGTAATGTATTAATTGCTCATACTTAGAGGTGGGTCTGAACCAAAAGCCGAGGTAATAACTCCCCTCAAAATTTCAGGAAATTAAGATCTGAACCCAGATTCAGACTTCACAGCTGGCCCCATCTATATATTGAACCAAACAAAACCCCTTACCTGTTTACTCTGGTAAAGTTTAGAGCTAGGTGCAAACTGCAGCTTGGGGCCATCTTTACTCATGATCATGCTACACTCATTTGTGTGCACTGATTTTACTGTTGTCAAAATCTAAATAAAGGAAACTCAAAAAGTAATATGTGTTAAAGCTCTCTCTGCTACACACTCCTAATCTCCATTGGTTATGCTACATAACTAGAAAGCTATCTGTTTGGATGGTAACTCTTAAAATATGTTGAAAGCAATCAGTGGGGCTAATGAGACTTTTTGTGACCCACCTAACACTACATGCTGAGATCAAAGGCATTCACTGAAAACAGGGTAACCCTCTTTATTAAATGTACACCATTGTCCATGTAAACATGAGACCAGGAAAAGAACCAAGAGTTTAGCGCATGCCAATATAAATAAATCACTTTGGTATAAAATCTTACTTAAATCAAGTTGGTTGAGTGAGAGGATGAAATGAATGGTAACACTGTCCACTCAGCCAAAAAACATTGATGCCAATTCACATCAGCATACCAGTCATCTGCATAGCAAAAGAAAGAGTGTTATCTCTGAAGGTGTTTCCCCCTGACATGGTGGACTTCCAATGCTTGTAGGTGGTGACACACCCTGGCTATGGACACACACCTTTGGGAATGGAAAGTTGGACACAGTTCAGGCCACAATAAAGGACATAATACCTAAGGGTTTCATCTACCTTTCCTTAAATGTTTGCACCTGCTTAGGGGCATTTTTGATAGTGACCAGTTTTTTTGTTGTCAGTTTTATTTAATCAACCTTTGTTTTATCCCTTTCTCTATAGATTTTTCACTCTGTCAATATCTTTTTTTATCTAAGTTAATTGGGGCTGAATGTAACAACTGTTAAATCAGGGCTAAT